TATAATTGGCTCGTTGTCCTTCTTTTATTTATTGATATATATATATATACATATAAATTTTTTATTAAATATAAATTAAAAATAGATACAGTTATAATTGTTTTTTAATTTATATTCAATAAAAAATTCATATATACATATGAACATCCAATATTGGCTCTTATAAGTTCTTGTAATTCTTTGATAATAATTAATAATGAATAAAGAATAAATCAGCGATCGAACGATTTAACTTATATTTAATTAACAATAATTGTAAAATCTTTCTTTTATGATAGATCAATAAAATTACTAAAATAAAAAATTTACGTAGATTGATAAGTTAACTTTATGATGTTTATGAGAGGATTTTTATGGTCATAATTAATTGTAAATATATTAATGACGGAATGTTAATGTCCTGCCTTGATAAACATAAGAAGAAGCTCTTATGCATTATCAATATTATTATACTAATCGGAAGATCGACAACGATGATCATTTCTACTTATTTTAGCTAAAATAGCGTACTCTGCGCCGAAAAGCACTATCTCCTTAGCAGAGGGAATGCCCAATGAAGAAACGTTCCCGTTTACAGAAATTTCAGTTAAACTCTGCGATGGTTCGTCTTTCACTCTCGATAATGACGAGTTAGCTGCCGCTCTCCAGTATATACCTACGCAAGGTTACCCTCCTCTTCTGCAGGTAGAAATTATTCTCTTATTTGGATTTTCTCTAAAACTGTTCCGTATAGAAATTTTAGAGCTAGCAATGTACAATAGTGATGCTCATATATCCACATTAATTTGTCGATTAAAAGAGAAATATAAGAAATTTAAATGTGATGAATATAGTGAAGATAAAAATAAGAGAAAACAGAAAAATAAAAAGATTTTGGAAATAAGCTATTAAATTATAACACCGTTCCAATTGTGTTGCACATTGTATGCGTGTGATAAAATCGACCTTGTCGTTATATTTGGAATCTTTCGTTCCGAGATAAGGGAATCGGCTACAATGTGTCTAACAATGTCGGACAAATTGGTTTCAGGCCCTGAGGGAATTCCAGAGAAGGGCACACGCGCCACCCTTATGGGAGAGTCGCGACATAGTCGTCGTTTCGGGGTCTCAGGATGGGCTTAGTAAAGCTCTGGAGGCTATAATCGGCACTGGTGATCCGATTTTGGTCCCCGACCCCTTCTATCCTGGCGTCGAAGTTGTGGTTAGTAAATATAGATATATTGCCATTAAAAAAAGAAATTTGAGAAGAATCCCGTACGTGTATTTGATGTATTGTTTTAATCTTTTTAGTTAAATAGTATACGATAATTTGAACACGATAGTAGGAATGGACTCTTCGCAAATTTTATAAGAAAACACATAAAAAAGTATTAGATAAAAAAAATGTTTTCTTCCCATCAATTGATTCATCTCATTATTCTGTTCATAAAAGTATTAAGGTATGGTTATAAAAAAATTAATAGTTTACGAATTATTTAATATTTTATGTCAATATGTGTCACAATAAAATATAAAATATCTCGTAAACTATTGGTTTTTTGATATCGCTACCTTAATACTTTTATATGCAGAATAATTAGAGAAATCATATTATGTAAAAAAATTCATATAATTCCATTTAAAAAAATGAAGTTGACCTTCAAATCTTCTAGGCGCCTCCACCTGAGAAAAAATGTTCATCATCATACGATGCCCCTCTCGAAACCAAACAATTTTTATTTCAAGCATTTCTTCCTATTTTCAAAACTGTGGGTGTTATTCGGGTGGCCAGTCTTAAGTAGGACATCCTGACATATTAGATCTGAGTTAAATTTTATCTAATCTTTTTTTAAAGACAACTTCTTTCCCTGATGAAAATTTTTCTCAAAATTTTGTATAAATTGAAACTCTTTTCAAAAATATCGAAAAAGTCTACATCTTTTCTTAGAATTTTTCATTTATATCATTACAAACACAAATTCTGAGAAATATTATAAGATTTAAAAAAATTTTCTTTTTATTTCTGAAAAAAAAAATAACTTGAACTTTTTTAGATTTTAAGATTTTTTTTTAATTTCATTAAAAATTATAAGATGAGAAATCTTAGATTATTTCATAAGATGAGAAACATTAGATTATTTCAAAATTTATATAGTATCTTTCGCAGATCGACACATACAAAGAATTCTAGAAAAGATATGTGTAAACTTTCTTGGCACTTCTGACAAGTGTTCAAATTTACATAATAAATATTTCCAAAAAAAATATATAATTATTCAGAAATTTTGAAAAATTTTGAAATTTATATAAAAGTTCAGAAAAATTATACAAAAAATTTAAAAAAAAACTTTCAACTTCTCGTTATATTAAAATAATAATGAGCATTTATTTCAAATTTTCGTTACTATGATAATACGGGAATGTCATTGATTTCAATCATAGATATCACCTCACAAAGCGGAACTCATAATGATTCCGCAAGACGATGACGGTCCCATTCCGGAAATACTACAGGAAACCCTGAGAAACCGAGAACTTTCCGATGGAAAAATGCCGAAGCTAATGTATATAAATGCCACAGGCACGAATCCTACCGGTATCATCATATCGCTAGAAAGACGAAAAGAAATCTATAGGATAGCCTGCAAGTACAATTTCTTACTTCTCGACGACGATCCTTATCATTTCATGCATTTTGACAAGGTGAGTCATTTTCATGTCGACAAACGAATGTGTTACATAATAGTTGTATAAAAATATTAAGCCGAGCGCATAAATATGAATGTATGTTAATAGACGCATTAATAGACATATAAATATACATGCGTTAATATTTACTACGCAAATAATTATTACTGAAAATTAGTTAAAAAATGGAACTCTACAAAATATGCCATAGTATTTTATAAACGGACCCGCAGATTACAGTGCAAATTAGATAAGTTTACTGTATGACGTATCTTTAACGTAATTTTGGCATAATTTTACATAAATGTAAATTAAATTTTGTGAATGGTCCGCGCGATAACATTAAATTTTATATCTTTTAAAGCTGTTGAAAATATGATGAAATGCAGTAGCAATTCGAAACAAATAAAGATATCTGTTAATTACAATATACATTAAGCACTGTGCTATTTGATGCAATCACGAATGGCAAATTATTAAAGATATTATTAAAAATTCATGCCCGTAGTAATATCAACGAATTCGCATATCATAAATATCTTTCATGATTCACATCCTTCATCAACATTTGAGATAAAACGCAATCTATATTTGAATTTATAATATAACTGATATATTATGCAAAATTAGATATATTTATAGAATTATAAATATATATATTTAATAAACATTTATAAAAGTCAAATAAATATAACTATAAAAGAGATTTTCTTCGTTGTAAGAAATAAAAAAAAAATGTGACTTAAAATAAATTATATTCTTTCTCAGGAAGAGCCTAAGTCTTTCTTATCGCTCGATACGGAAGGTCGAGTAATTAGATTGGACTCATTCTCGAAAGTGATCAGCAGTGGCATTAGAATAGGCTTTATGACTGCCGCAGCTCCGTTGATAGCTTGCGTAGAGCTCCATTTGCAGAGCAGTCATCTCCACGCTCCTACCTTATCGCAGGTTGGTAGAATATCCTTATCCTTCGCAAATCCCTATTCGCTACCTTTACTTTTCTCTATCGCCGGTAAATATCGTCCACTCAATAGAGAACACTTATCTATACACGGCATGCATAACATTCCAATTGACACATCGAAAGATTATAAAATATTCATGAATTATTTAAACTCAACTGGTATAAAAGACTAATAAGCCATTATTCATTTTTAGTACATATCGGTAAAACTCATTGGATGTGTTGCGATACGAACGTTTGAATGATTTGTATTTGAACATAACGTGAAAAGAAAGAATGCATTTATTATACTCTTATTTATTATACTTTCATATGTATGTACAAAAATGGGTGATAATCGTATATCTTGAATGATGAAACATCGTGGAACATCGATACATGCCTTGCCATAAATCAAATTGACAGTGGCGCGTGTCGGTTCTTATCAAAACTTTAAAAAAATGTAAACATTAATCCTTTTATCGTCAGAAAAAAAATATAAAATGGCTGATTTGACTTTTTAGGTGATAATGTACAAGCTATTTAAGATCTGGGGTTACGAAGGCCTGATGCAACATTACATGAGATTAAGGCGCTATTACAAGGAACGAAGAGATGTTATCTCGACGTTGGCACACAAGCACTTGAACGGTGGGTAATTTATACTCTCGATATATACACCGATGATAACTTGTACTTAATTAAATTTAAAATAACTCTTTAGAATTAATAAACAGTTTTTACTTTAGAATGCATGTGTTTTCTGTATATTTTATGTAAAAACATATAAAATTGAAGAAGAAGTAATACCCGCTAAACAAAATTATGTTGTTGCAACATAATTTTGTTTAGCGGGTATTATATGCGGTATTTTTTACGTGTGACAACAATTTATGTTGATAAGGGCAAAAATGTTTTACAGATAGCCAGTAAGTTGTTACAATTAAAAAAATTAGAAAATTATGAATCTCGTTTTATAGGTCTGGCGGATTTCAACGTACCAAGAGGTGGATTCTTCTTATGGATCAAAGTACCAGGAATCAAAAATACATGGAAGATGATGCAGCGGGGCGTAAAGGAAGGTGTTATTATGACTCCAGGAGCCGCATTTGCGAGAGACTCCACGAAATGCTCTAATGCTATCAGAGCAAGTTTCACCAAGGCTTCCTACGAGGAAATGGACCTGGTATTTAAAATTTCTGTATTTATATACATATTTATATATTTATATATTACACATGTCAATTTATTTTATATTTATCAATATTATATTTTATACATACATCCACAAAATATTCCATCATAAATTGGGATTATCGATTATTATTGATTAATTATAAAGTTCAAAATAAACATTTTAAAGTTGCATGTTTAAATATTAAATTTAAGTAATTAATATAATTGTTTATTATTCTTATTTTGTCACATCTATTAATTTATTTTATTTTATCGACGTACAGCATCTAATCTATCGACGGTGAATAAAGTACCGAAACACACATGTTTGTCATCGTTTCCTGCTATATAAACGAATTGACTCTCGAATATTTATATCTTTACTTATATTTCAGGCAATGGAACGATTGGCGCAATTAATCCGTGTGGAGTTAGCCGAAAATTACATAAAAAATGTCGATACATGATAATATATTTGTACATATATATAATATATGAATTATATATTTGTACATGACTACACGGTTGATATTGAAGTTAACACAAACACCAGTTGGTAATAAAATAGAGAGTTCAGACCGGAAAGATATTATGAATAATTGTTGAATTGTTGAATGTTAGAAGATAGAAGGAAATGTAACAGACATCGATAGAATTGTACGAGTTCTATTAAATCAATGAATTTTATGTATTTTCGTCATTTTTAAAACATAGAATTTAAAATGTAGAACATAGTCTCAAGTTTTGTTAACAGAGGACATTACATCACTAAAACAGCTATTTTGCGAGCATTAAATTTAATAACAGTTAAAACTAAGAACTTATCGTTTTGTTATAACGTAATCTTTTAGTAGATATTGATATTTAAAGGCGTGCTTCATTTTTGATAATAATAGGAAAAATAAGTTCTTTTTACATTTTTAAAATTTTTTGTAACAACATGCATGCTTATAACATGATGCGGCAATAGGGCGATTAATCTCATGAAACTTTGATAAATGCGTACATTATTATGTAAACGTGTTAAATTAAAAATAACTCGTTAAAATTTAATATATTAAATTCTCTTAAATCTCTCTCAAGCATATTACATTGCCACACATTCACGGCAGATTATTTTTATCTTGCTATTATATTTAATTGAGAGCGAACACATATGTACAAGGATGACAAAGGCATTCAAAAAAATGTACACTTTTAATTAGGAAGTTGGTAGAGGTTCATCTGGCATTTACATATGAAAACTTTATCGACGGATACACTCTAATGAATTATTTTGCTAAAGATGGCTAGGAAGGAGCCGAAACGTTCAAATAATTAAGTCGAATATAATACAGACGAAACACATGCAAACGAACAATTTGTATGTATAGTAACAAATTAAATTATTAATTTGGCGCCAAAAACAACGTAGAATTACTCTCAGTTGCCTGTATTAGCGAGATTAAATTTTTAATTATATCAGAGAGTCCAATAAAATATTATATTTCTATTATATTTAAATTTTTGTAAAAAAAACAAGACTAATTATTTAACGATACCTTTTTTACATTTATATACATTTTATTTTAGAGTAAATTTTCATCTTTTTCGAAAAATATGTTAATTGTTTTATTAAGAATTCACATGAAATATTGCTTAATTGGAAAAAAATGCTTAATTTTTAATATTTAGAAAGACTACGCAAGTTTATTAAACAGTTAGAACCTGATTTAATTTTTATATGACACTTTGTACTTAATTTGTAACTAATTTTAGATAGCGTTTGGACATATGTTTATTGTGTATTAATAAAGATTCTTTACTGTATATAAATAAAGATTCTTTATTCCATATTAATAAAAATTCTTTGCTAGTACGTTTCTATTATTTATTATATGTATAATTGAAATTGGAACATAAAATAAAAATTTAACACTTATCTCTTTTTTTTATAAGGACTATTTAATTTATTATAAAAGTATTAAGAAAAGAATTCGCTGTAAATTTTTTCGAGCAAGTCACTTAATCCTCCCCAGATTTGACGTAGATTCATTATGCAGTGATTGTTTGGATAACAAAGATTCTGATGAGTAAAAAATAATTAAGTTTTCTCTGTGAAGTAATGTTAAAATAAAAAATAGATATATTATTATATTTGAATTAATAATTTGTTCTTAATTTTTGTATCTATTATTGTAGCATTTGCCATTTTACACAAAAATGTCAAATAATTTTCTTTATGTTATATTTGCAAATTTGGATTATCCTTATTAAAATAAACTTAATATTCATTTTTTTATATATGAGTTATGTCATTTTAATTTTTGGAAATTAATCAGTGTCTTTCAATCAACATATTACGTTGGTCTCAAACTCGGTGTCAATAACTGTGTTACAGATTTTGGCGCCAGTTAGGGAGAGTTAATGACTTTCATTACACACACAGGTAATTATGTAATAATAGTTTAAAGAAATACCTTAAGGCCATTGCACGTAAAAGTATTAGTCGTAACCGTAAAACCATAAAAAGCTATAAATTGATTGGCTACGAGGCAAACGATAAGCCATGTGACTGTCTTCCGATTGGTTGGTCATAAGGATAAGGCGTTAATCGCAATCTTTTGACGGGACGAAAACTTGCGTCTATGACCATAGCTTTGAGGTTATGACGTTTCACTTGTGTTAGTTCTGTGCAGAGGACGCGACAATGCTTGATCCTGACGCAGTAGCCAATTAATTTATCGCTTTTTTACGGTCTTACGGTTACGACTAAAACTTTTACGTACAATGACTACGTTTACACCGTGCGCTTAGTTCGCAACCTATACGATAGGTGTCTTTGTTTAATATACAAGATAAACAAGGATGTCTATTGTATAGGCCGCGGCCTAAATGCACGGTGTAAACGTAGCCAATGGCCTTTACTAGACTAAATATTACTGTTATTTCTCGATTTTCCTCTGTAGCATTTAATTTGATTTTAGAATTTGATTTTGTACTTTAAAAAAAAAAAGAAATATGAAATGAAGGGGTGAAATCAAGAGATTGGAAAGAGAAATAAGACGAAATTATTGTGCAAATATTAGAATGCAAAAATATCATGAATAAGATTAATAGTAAAAGTAGAAGACAAAGGAAATAAACTCTCACTCTCTTAATTCTATAAACATCTTAACTACCAATTAATTTGGCAAAATTAATTTAATTTGTTGCAATATGAGACGCGATCTGTTCTTCTGCGATTTTGCTTGCTTTAACACTTTTCTTGGTTTTTATTTATTTTGGATGTATGTAAAAAACCTTTTGAATGTACCTGCATTCTCTACTCCCGACGGTCTCATAGCTCGAATAATACCTCGCCGTTTATTTAGTATAATTAGGATGCTAATAGCGCGCAACTTGTGCCGCGTAAACGTCTCGTATATGATGCGTATATTCCTTGAAAGTATCTATCAACTTTAATAAATCAAGCTAATAGATAAACTAAATAAATACGTAAGAAAAGTAGTAGTAATTATAACAATTTTAATTGGGACCTAAGGGAATACTTTTCCTTTGCTAATATTTAAAACGAGAAACTTAGATGCTAATTACAAGCAGCTGTAAACTATATACATATATATATATAGAGCGTGTATAATTTTTAATTATTTTTTCTTGAAAACTGTTTAACATTCTTTCTCTCTCTCTCTCTCTCTCTCTCTCTCTCTCTCTTTCTCACTTTATTTTTCTTTTTTATAAGCTTTTATATTGAGTCTTATAATTTACCAGTTCAGACACAATTTAATTTAATAATTTATCAGTCAGATATAACTTTATTTCTGTGATAAAATCAAGCGTATGCGCGTTGATACTGCATAGTAATATGTAGGGTGAATTTCACGACAGATTCGAGGAAACGAGCTCGCATCAAAGCACAAATCGGTTTCTTTGCACGCTGGAAGACCATGAGGATAAACACACAGCCCCCCCGAAGATATAGTGTATATTAAAAGACGTTTTGCGACGCTGCTGGGGAGCTGCACGGATATAGCCGATCATACGAATGGCCACATTTTCGCGAGAGTGGGATTTGAAGAAAAAAACTAGAAAATACACTTTCGTTTTTCGTACTTGCGAATTGTAGCATGTTCAACGTGTCATAATTTCTGTTGATTAACACGCTCAAACTTTACCCTTCTGACAAATTTTATAAAAATTATATTACTCGATCGATAGTCATTTTATATGCAAACACCTTTTCTTTCATCCGGATGCCTATGATTATGGAAAAAAATTTTTCTATAAATTACAATAAACATGATTGTTCAAAAGTTACTTTGAAATTTTTTAATCCAATAGTGCTTTATTAATGCGAGGAAAATATAATCTAAAATTCCTTTACATTAATTTTTATTAATATATCCATAAAAATTCTTTAGTCAAAAAAGATTAGAGTTCTCTTTCTCTCTTTTTTTGTTGTCTTTTCTTATACGAAATCTATTCGCTTTAATTATTTATCAATGTAGCAAGTGCTAATCAAAATATTAACAGAATAAATTCTTAACGTTCTTTATAATTTAATTGCGTACTAAGTAAGATTTGTGTTTGAATAACTTCGTCACATGTGTCAAAATCACACAAGATAATTCACGTAGGCTACACTGTTAAAAATTGTATGAAATTTAATATACTTTTAATTTACACAATTTGAATTTAATTTCATGACATTACATTAAATTTAATATATTTATAACTGACAAATATATTTGTGTACATGTACATGAAATTTAATGTATTTTTCATGAAAATTTATGAAATTTAATGTACACGTTCATTATATTTAAGTAACTACTGTAATTTAATTTTTAGTTAAATCATTCATTATTTTTAATTTCGTTCATTTACATGTAAAGGAAGTTCGTGGTCACATTTCTAACAGTGTAAGACTAATAAGTGGCCAACATAGCGCAAGGTGACAATGTCGTATATGGCACGATCAAGATGTTTTGCATTTCAAAATTTTGTAATATTAATTTTGAAATACAATTTTGGTTTAGTAACTGATTATAGAGGGTTAAAAGTATGTTCTTTCTTGATTTTTATTTTTCGATTTTTTCTTGCAAAAAAAAGCAACTAAAAAATGATAATTTTTTAATTTTCTCTGAAAAGAGTTATAGCATTTTAATCGTTCCAAGTACGCTTTCTTAACTAGAACTGTACTTCCTCCCTGGTGTACACGAAGACAGCGGTCCGATATAGCAAGAAAATAGCGACGCGGGAATCAATGGCAGAGGGCAAAAGAGAATTCTCAAGATCCGGCAATGCGCCCTTAGTCGCAGCGAGTGCTCGTGGGAGCCGCTATCGTTTCCGTCTCACCGAGGTTCGTCGGCGGCGCGACGCTCACCGCGGGAGCCGTCAAGGGGGTTATTCCCTGGGGGTGGGTGAGATCGGTGAGGTGACTCGGGCAGAGGCGGGAGAGAAAGCGCACCAGACTCGTGGGTCGGTCGGCGGGATCTCCTGGGGCGGGTGAGCGGGGAAAGGGTGAGAGAAACGGAGGGACGGTGAAAGAACCGGGAGAAACGGACGGGGTGGCGTGCCAGGGGGTGTGAGAGCAAGACGGGAGCGAGGAGGGGTCGGTAAGGGTGCGCGAGGGGTAGTGCAGTTTCGTGTTGGCATTACTCTTGATTTCCGTGGTGACGTCGCTACCTCGCCAGCCCTCGCCCTCCCCGTCGCTACCCTCCTCCTCCTTCTCTCCTCTACCTTCGGCGGCCTCCAACCCCACCGCCCCCTTCCGCACCTCCGTGTCTTGTGTTTTGCCATTTCAGCGCGCGAAGGCCACCCACCCCTCGTACTCCCAGACTATCTGGGAAAGATAGATCCTTCCGCGTTCGCTACCCTATATACCGTCCACGGTACGAACATATCGCGTCGGATGATATTTCTCCTTCTTCTGCCTTCGGTTCCGACGTGGCCGTTCGTCGACGGCCAGCCTTATGGAGAAGGACGGGCATTAGTCATGCCGAACATTCCTTTCTTCTCGAGCATCATCGGAATAATAAAAAATTAAGTGTGTTCCTCGTGTGTGAGTTGTCACATGATTAGGATTTAAACGAGATTTACACCAATATCTAGGAAATGTGAAAAGTTTAATCTTCCTTTAATATCAAAGTCTTAAAATTATCTCTTCCTTCGAACTCTTCGTTTCGAGAAATACTGGTCGAAATATAGTCCTTATTTTTGTGTGAATTCCATTTTTTAGTCTGGTTGATAATATAGTCTCTATATACATCTAATATAGTCTTTATTTATAAATATGAAGTACCTCTATAAATTCACGTAAACGTTATATCGTTTATTTGTTACAACAACAACATAACTTAAAAACGAAATTTTTTAAAAAATAAATTTGAATATTTTTTAAACGATTAAAATTTTGTAATATTAATTTTGAAATGCAATTTTGGTTTAGTAACTGATTATAGAGGATTAAAAGTATGTT